TGGTTCATATATAGAAATTCCAGCACCATCTGTAAGATTTATTACTATTTTTAATCTAATTTAAATATTATTAGATATAATAAATAAAAATTTATGTTTATTACAGATAGATGCTCATTGCTACCTGACAAGAAAGTGTCGTTATGCTGTTATACTTCAAACAGTATGTGATGTAGATCTGCGTTTTACTGACTGTTACGCCGGGTATCCTGGTTCTGTTGGCGATCTTCGAGTTTTCCACAATTCTGATCTTTATCATAGTATCCATAGAAATAAGGATTCCTTTTTTCCTAATGAAGAATTCATTGTAGGAGACAAAGCATATCCAGTACTTAGATGGTGCTTGACTGCTTATAAAGATAATGGTCATTTGACACAGGTGTGTTACATTTTATGAAATAAATGAATTATAAGAATTTTAATTTTAATTGATACTAGTAATATATTGCATTACTAATTTTTTTAAGTATATTTTTGTACTATTTTTTGTATATTACAGATGGAGGATTATTTTAATGATATTTTGCCAAAGACAAGACAATCAGTGGAACGTTCTTTAGCATTATTAAAAGGCCGCTTTAGACGATTGAAATATTTAGATATGTCCAGGGTTGATTTAATACCAGCAACAATCTTGGCCTGTTGTGTTCTCCATAACATATGTTTAGGTGATACTGATGACATAGAAAATTATATTCAAGAAGGAAACAGATAAAATGACCAGAATAGAGAAAATAATGAAGAATATAACGAAATTGAAAATTGTGATAATAAAAGAGTAGCAAAGCGGAATTATCTAGCAACTATTTTATTTCAAAGAAGAAACATAAATTGATCATAGATCAACATACATTTGTTCACAGAATACGTGTTATCTTTTCATTACGAAAAGAGAACGATGATTTATTTAAAAACGATAAAATCAGAAATAATGTTACATGGAAGAAGATTGCCGAATCTTTTAAAGAAAAAGGTTACATGTATATACTACCAAGCAAATAAAAAATAAATTGAAAAATTTTTGAAAAAATTATATGAAAGTAAAAAAAGAAAAATAAGATGAAAAAACAAATGAAAATGTGGACAAAATATTTTGACAAAAGTAGAAAGAAAAAAGATGCAGAAAAAGAGAAAGCAAGAGAGAGAAGGCACAAAGAGAGGATTGAACAACAAAAAGAAAAAAATTCGCTGAATATTTCATAAAAACCATTTGCAATATGTAACAGAAAAATAAACAATATAATAAATAACTAAATAAATAACTATTTAACTTATATTAAATCAATAAATGTATTAAGTCAATAAATCATTATATTTATCATTAATAAAAAAACTTTTATTTAACATAAATAACACTTATACTCGTAATTATTAACACAGAAATTTTCATTATAACATATAATATTTTAAGAACTTTTTCATAACGTAATTATTTAAATTTAAATATTGAATTTACATTATAATTTTTTCAAAAATTTAATCCATTAATTCTTTATATGTGTCCAAAGCTTCTTTTGTTGTTTCAATCCTCTCTTTGTGCCTT